ATTATGAAATAATATCAGTATTATAATAATATACAATGAACAACAGAAGAATAAGGAAAAAATATATATATAGAGTTGTAGTTTCATTTTTAATAATCAAATGATGAAGGGTGGAAGGGAGTAGTTGTAAGGTGTTATTTTGATTTTGGGGGAGTTCTGAATAACCGTGGAGGACATAAGTGAATCGAATTCGGAGATGATTTCTGGTGAAGGATCCGGATTTTGGAAAATGAAGGAGAGAAGACGGAAGTTAACAATGGTTTCGACAAACAGGAAACAGGAAATGTTATTTTTAATTATATAGGATTTAATAAGGTGGGATTTAGGGTGAAAGGAATTTATATTGGAATATAAGATAAGGAGGCTGCTATCCATTCAAAGGAATTGATTTAGAGGTGCCTTGCGTAGATAATGTGTGCAAAATTTGCTATAATTTCTTGGAAATAGTCGTAAATAAATAATGCTACAATACATTTCACCTATAGTGTTTCATTATTTCAATATTGTTTATATAATAATTGTATGAGTTGCTAAGATATGTAATTAATCGTGATTCAATCATTCGTGTCAAATTATTTTGTCAGTTCATTCACATTGTAAATTTTTTTTGGGTACGTATTTTCCATTGTATTTACACTAATATTTGTCTCAGACAATAAAATTTCGATGTAGATTAGGATAATCAACTAAAACTTCTGTACATTATTTTAATTCTTAATACCTAATCATCATCTTCGTAAAGTGTTGTGTTAAAGCTATATCTAGTATTTATGTTTTAGTGAACGTTTCTTGTTGGTTGTGTATGATGGAAGATGACACGTTGCAAGAAATTTGTGTATATTTTTTTTTATTCTTAATACCTAGTCATCATTAAGGCTATGTCTAATACTTATGGTTTTGTGTATTTTTTTTTTATTTTGAAGGATGGAAGATGACACGTTGCAAGAGAGTAGCAAGGTTTTGCACGATTGGAATATAATCCCTTCGAAGAGCAAGAAGGTACCATTCTGCGCCCCAGATGCTGCCAGATTAGCGAAGAAGGAGTTCCTGATCGGTCCTGGACCGATCACATGGACCGTCAGCGATATTTCCAAAGCAGGATGTCTTCTGACCACACCGCCCATACCCACGAGCTTCTCCGATGAACAAGAGATGCGAAGAGTTTACACCCTCATCTATGACGTCTACAGATGTAAGTTTTACACACACACACCTTATTGAGAGCATTCGTGTTTGCTGTTAACTTGATAAAAACAATTCAAGTCGCACGTGAAGGAAACAAAGGTCAGGTGAAACTAATCTAAATGCAATTTGTTTCGTTTGCGAAAACGGTGCACGAAACACATTTTGCATACGTTATTTCAATGGTAATGCGAATATAATGAAATGACTTTTCGTCGCTTGGGCGCACTCGAATTGTCCAGAAAGTCACGCTTTCTTAAATTTTTACATTACATATGAGTAGAAATGTAATTTTAAATTTAATGAAAAAATGTACTCAGTAGTTTGTGAACTACATTTTTCTTAAATATGCTAGCTTAAACATGAAAAATATTAAGTTACAGATACACAAATTGACTTATAGATATATAAAATATGGTGACAAAACACCATTAGTTTTTTATTCTCAAATTGTCATAATGTTCTTTATTTTGTAAATTAATTCCAAAGTTATTCAATTCATAATCATTGAATAGATCGACGAATGAGTAATTTTGATATTTTTTGAAAAATATTACAGATAATTCTTTAATTATTTTTTGATAAAAAAAAAAACTTAATAGTGTATGTAGATTAACAATACAGGCATACCTTGATTAACGAAATGTCTGCTTTAAATAAAACTTCATTTTCAGAGGTACAAAATACTATGGCCAGAATGGCTATACGTTCCTTCGTAAAGAAAATGAAAAACTATTTTCGAACAAAAAAAATATCATTTTCTTTGTGTTCGTTGCTAAAAAAAATCTAAATCTTATATTAAAAAAATCATAATCTTCTACATTCAATAAATTTAACCTAGTTTTTGAACTATCTGGATAAGTTTGATGAACATTATCTACCGAATGTACTAGAATCTATCTGACATTTTTTAGTTACTTATTTCCAAGAACTATCATTGCTTTCGGTATACAATACTATGGCCAGAATGCGTTCCTTCATAAAGAAATGCTATTTGTTGAACAAAAAAAAGTCTAATTTTGTTTATCTTCATTTCTAAAAGATCTAAATCTTCTACTAAAAAACTACAATCTTCTACATTCAATAAATTTAACCTATTTTTTGAACTATCTGGATAATTTTGATGTCAATTTTCTATCGGATGTACTAGAATTTATCTGATATTTCTTAGTGACTTATTTCCCAGAACTATCATTGTTTCAGTACATAATATATCTAAAAGAATCTAAAATAGACCACATTAAGATCTACTAGTTAAATTATCACATTTATTCTCATATAACTTATCAGTTATAAATAAAGAAAGTGTTATAATTGGAATTAATATTCCAATTTAGTAGAATATATCACTCATAATTAGTTAAAAACATATTGGATAACATGAAATGAATAAATGTTCACTTTTAGAAATTTAATTTAATTTAATCAATAGTTTTATGTCAGTTATTATTTTCAAATTCACTTTTTTTCACCATAATCGATAATTAATATGCTTAATAAAAGATTCATTTTAATTCGAATTTATGAGAGTTCTATTTATAAATGAAACTATTTATAATTAATGACAAAAGCATGGAAATCGATACTAAACAAATTTCTATTGCTGTATTCTTCAGTTTTCTTCTTGGAAGCTTTGCCTTTAGAAATGTAAAATATTTATCCTCAAATTATGTTAATAACACATGAAAGCAACAATAAATTATTATTTATTATAACTTGTCTAATTGTCATTTATAGTATACAAGAATGTCTAATAGTTGTTTCATTAGCATATCTTTTAGATAAATCGAGTATGTTGATATGTTTCAAACATTTGGTTGTTAAGCTGTTATTTAGAAGATAAAACAAATGCCTTTCAATACTATTTCAATACTTTTTTTGATAACAATAAACATTTGTTTGTTTAAGTAGAAATAATCCTGTAGAGTTTTCTCAAATATCTTCCTTACTTAAATTCATCTGTCATCTAAAAATGTAGAATGGGTGTAATATTTTTTGGTAATCAAGATTAGAAACTGATTTCTTTATATATAATGTCGTGTTTGTTACTATTTATTTCTATAATATATTCTTGTAACTGCAGTTTACTTTAATTAAAACCTATTTATTTTTAATTGTAATATTTCTTCACTGAATCAATTCCCAGCTTTAGATATTTGGGTTTCTTTTATCTAATTGTTAACTCTATACTAAATATCTCGCATAGTGTGTAATCTGTTTAAAACCGGACTAATCGAGGTACTAAATACATACGCAAAATTTTTGAGAATTTATTTTTAATTGTTTTGTCAAAATTAAGTTTTGAAATTTTTAAATCGTACTATAGTGAATCCACAATGATCGAAGCCACACTATGCAAGGTATTACTTATTTACCTTTATCCTTAAATATCTTAAGCATATATAAGTAATAATTTATAATATTTCTATTTTTCATTAGTTTAATTGTTTTCTATTTTTTTACTATTTAAAAAGTATTAATTTACTTTATATTATTTATTAATTTACATTTTCATTGAGAAAAGAACAAAAAAGTATTTGTTGTTCTTGTAAAAATTCTTGAAATGCTGCTTACCGATGATTATGCAACAAAAATTGCATGGACAGGTGTATTTTAGGTGTAGAACCTGAAGGGCGCAAAGATATAAAGGACCAAACCAAACCAAATACGTTGGAATACGTATTTCGCATTCTTGCATTTAGAATCATGCGAAACTGTTGTCGCAGAACGAATACAAAGTACATTTTATAAATAATGTCGCATTTTATTGCTTATATAATATAATTTTATTATTAATATTTAATTACGATTTGTTATAGATATTATTTTAGTGCAATATTTATTAGCCTACTTATTTCATATTTAATAGGTAATAAACTCGGGAATCAAAGTTAAACTATAATTAAATTATATATATTTGATACTTCAAACCTTTCGCTATAAATATCTGTTATTAATTAAAATAGACAATGATTTATATAAGAATATTAAATAACATAATTAATTGTAATTATTTTTTAAGATAAAAGCATATTGAGCAAAGCTTTGGAGGACGTTGCATTTTTCTATGAACACCCTAAGGTGAGTTTTTGTTATAAATTTACAAATATAGTGATAATAATTTATGGGTTAATATTTTGATAATTACGTAATTTTATGCTTTCACGTAAACATTATACAATTCTTTACATTCTAATTATATTACAAATCCAAAATTTTAATATTAACTGTTAATTAATAATAAATAAATGTACAATGAAGCTTTTGTGGAAGTTATATCGACTAAGTTAAGTAATTATAATTAGTTGAATTCCTGTGGCAAAAATTACTTCAAAACTTATAGAATTTATTTGTCGTTGATAATTAAATAATATCTTTATGTAATGTAAAACAATGTAATTATAATTCTATTCAAGCTGATCACTGAATTTCTGTTTTTTGCTAATAACTGAATAGTGCGGTTTCACCAATATCCTGTATGAACCCGTACTAATCGAGTAACTATAATTATATTTTGTGAATTATATTTTAGGTTTTTTTGATATTTTCAAACGGGACTATACTAATGGAAGCCGCACTATCTGTGGTTTTTGTTTAATGTACATTTAATTTTATGTAAAATCAATTAATCTAATTGTAATTATTGTACATTGGTTTATTATTTGCATGTAAATAATTGATTGTGTTTGTGTCGCTTTCAGTTAAGGTATATCAATGATATTGATTTTTTTTATGTTTAGATGAAGAAAAGCATGTCACGAGTTTGGTTGCTTCTGTATGACCTTTACCATCGCAGCTTCAAAAAGCGTACAGTGAGGAATGCGTCCGTGGCTCAAGCGTTATTCGCGGAATCCGGGCTGCAGGAAGTGGAGGAGGCGGTTTGGTCGGATAGGGTGAAGCTGGCTGCGTCCGTGGCGCGTCTTCGGATCAAGCACAGCGCCCTTCGCCTCAGCCAGCTGCTGCCCTACCATCTGAGGGACGAGAAGGTTTCTACCCATGCAAAGCATGCTCCCGTCACATGTTGGGTCAATATCAAGAAAGTTAAGTGAGTCCGCCAAATCAATACATTCTTTGCGCTCTTCGTATATCAATATGAACGATATATGTTTT